CACTCAGAAACTAAAAATATTGAATATTCTTTTAAACATTCATATAATCATATTAATCGACTCAGTATTATTATCATATTGATCCATTGGAAGGTACCTATTTGATTACTACGTAGGCATACGTATATAACGAATAATACTATTGTTAACCTAACGCACAATTAAACCGCTTTAATATTTAAACCGTAATAAGTATTATTAATATCGAATACAATGTATCAAAAAAATGCAATCATGTAATAATAGCTAATACGTGCTTGAAGGATATCTTAATTCCTGTATAATGTCAGGAGATAATATACAGAGCGTCAATCGCGAGTCTTTATTTCGACCTATAAAAGAGGGTTAACTGGTTTACATTTGTTCAGTACTCCTATCAAGTACGGTACAACTTCACACGTTCGGTGGCGAAAATATAATTTTAAAAAAAAACCATAATATTTCTAGTCGCCCACGCTGCGTTCGACATGTACAAAATCGTATTCATCTTGGCGGTGTTCACCTATGCGGCTCAAGTAGCATTCAGCGTCCCCACGACCGACAACAAAATGGTAAATATTATTCACAATTATCACAACGATTATGTTTAATCTCCGACACTCTCGATTTGAGTAGCGATATTATTTCATGTTAATGTTTACTGGGTGGTGTTTACACTAAAAGGCCTTTCCTTTTTTTGTAGTTTTGTATTTATATAAATATATGAATGGGAAAAATCGGAAGATTTATTCTTGAAATATATTCACACTATTAATGTTCAAAATATTTTTTAATTTTTCTCGGTTTAAAATAATAAATGCATAGCAAATTGCCGAAATCGAAAACTTGTAAATAAAAAAAAAATTGTTTTTCTTTTGCATTGGCTATACAAAATATATTTTGTACTTTCCTTTTAACGTACTTATCAAGTCATATAATAAATAATTCTCGAATTTTAAAAATTCATCGTTAGGCATTTTTAGTTTTTAAATAACCAAAAGTTTAAAATAATAAAGAGCTTGTTTTCTGCTAATAGGTGGCAATTTGTCGAAGGCGAAAACTTATGTGCCAAGACTTACCGGGCGCAATAGCTTTAGGTAATATACCCGTCACCAATTTTGAACAAACGGCGGCACACGCGATTCAGCTGCCATTAGAAGAGGCACAGGCCTCAAACAGTGAATTAAGTGAAGCAAATACGATTCAAGGTGTCCCCATCACCTACAGCCAATATGTAACTATTGCAATTTTTTCACGTATTTAACCAAAAATTTGTTTTTCTTTTGCATTGATTATACATAATATGTTTTTAATTTTCTTTTAACGCACTTATCTAGTCATATAATAAATAATTATCGAATTATATACATTTATCTTTAAGATATTTCAGGTTATAAAAAATCAATAATTTTGAAAATAATGAAGAGCTTGTAATTGTTATATGCTTATAGGTTGCGAATTGTCGAAAACGAAAACTTATGTGCGACTTACCGGCCGCAATAGCTTTAGGATTTAAACCTGACACGAATGTTGAACAAACTGCATCACAAATGATCCAGATGCCATTAGAAAAAGAACAAGCCGCCAATGTTGAATTAACTGAAGCACAAGCATTTCAAGGTGTCCCCATGACCTACAGTGAATATGTAACTATTGCAACATTTTCACGTATTTAACCATAAATGTGTTTTTCTTTTGCATTGGCTATACATAATATAATTTGTACTTTCCTTTTAACGTACGTATCAAGTCATATAATAAATAATTCCCGAATTTCAAAAATTTATCATTAAATTTTTTTAGTTTTTAAATAACCAAAAGTTTAANAAGAGGCACAGGCCTCAAACAGTGAATTAAGTGAAGCAAATACGATTCAAGGTGTCCCCATCACCTACAGCCAATATGTAACTATTGCAATTTTTTCACGTATTTAACCAAAAATTTGTTTTTCTTTTGCATTGATTATACATAATATGTTTTTACTTTTCTTTTAACGCACTTATCTAGTCATATAATAAATAATTATCGAATTATATACATTTATCTCTAAGATATTTGAGGTTTTAAAAAATCAATAATTTTGAAAATAATGAAGAGCTTGTAATTGTTATATGCTTATAGGTTGCGAATTGTCGAAAACGAAAACTTATGTGCGACTTACCGGCCGCAATAGCTTTAGGATTTAAACCTGACACGAATGTTGAACAAACTGCATCACAAATGATCCAGATGGCATTAGAAAAAGAACAAGCCGCCAATGTTGAATTAAATGAAGCACAAGCATTTCAAGGTGTCCCCATGACCTACAGTGAATATGTAACTATTGCAACATTTTCACGTATTTAACCATAAATGTGTTTTTCTTTTGCATTGGCTATACATAATATAATTTGTACTTTCCTTTTAACGTACGTATCAAGTCATATAATAAATAATTCCCGAATTTCAAAAATTTATCATTAGGTTTTTTTAGTTTTTAAATAACCAAAAGTTATTTTATAACTTCTCGAACAAAAGAAGAATATCCACCGTCAAACAGCTTTCGCTTTTGAATACACGGTTCTGAATGCGGGGGCAATAGCTTTAGGAAATATACCCGTCACCGATTTTGAAAAAACGGCGGCACACGCGATCCAGCTGCCATTAGAAGGGGCACAGGCCTCAAACAATGAATTAAGTGAAGCAAATACGTTTCAAGGTGTCCCCGTCACCTACAGCCAATATGTAACTATTGCAATTTTTTCATGTATTTAACAAAAAATTTTTTTTCTTTTGCACTGACTATACATAATATGTTTTGTACTTTTCTTTTAACGTACTTATCTAGTCATATAATAAATAATTATCGAATTATATACATTTATCTTTAAGATATTTGAAGTTTTAAAAAATCAATAATTTTGAAAATAATGAAGAGCTTGTAATTGTTATCTGCTTATAGGTTGCAAATTGTCGAAAACGAAAACTTATGTGCGACTTACCGGCCGCAATAGCTTTAGGATTTAAACCTGACACGAATGTTGAACAAACTGCATCACAAATGATCCAGATGCCATTAGAAGAAGTACAAGCCGCCAATGTTGAATTAACTGAAGCACAAGCATTTCAAGGTGTCCCCATGACCTACAGTGAATATGTAACTATTGCAACATTTTCACGTATTTAACCATAAATGTGTTTTTCTTTTGCATTGGCTATACATAATATAATTTGTACTTTCCTTTTAACGTACGTATCAAGTCATATAATAAATAATTCCCGAATTTCAAAAATTTATCATTAAATTTTTTTAGTTTTTAAATAACCAAAAGTTTAAAATATTGAAGAGCTTGTTTTCTTCTTATAGGTGGCAGTTTGTCGAAAGCGAAAACTTATGTGCCAAGACTTACCGGGCGCAATAGCTTTAGGAAATATACCCGTCACCGATTTTGAAAAAACGGCGGCACACGCGATCCAGCTGCCATTAGAAGGGGCACAGGCCTCAAACAATGAATTAAGTGAAGCAAATACGTTTCAAGGTGTCCCCGTCACCTACAGCCAATATGTAACTATTGCAATTTTTTCACGTATTTAACCAAAAATTTGTTTTTCTTTTGCATTGATTATACATAATATGTTTTTTACTTTTCTTTTAACGCACTTATCTAGTCATATAATAAATAATTATCGANCGAACTTCTAAAAATTTACCGGATGGATATACATGATTTAATTATTTTATAGTTTTAGTTTATCTATATATTTGTCAAAAATAAATAAATACATGTTACATATTATTTACTCAAAAACATAAACGTATTTTATATTATTTTATTATTATATATTATATTTATACTACAAACGTCTATAATATAATTTGTAATATTATACTATATAAACTTTAATGTACTTTTTCTATTGGTAAAAGTGCGTATCTCAAATATATATATTTTTTGAGATTTAAAAAGACCAATGTCGTTACAAAATTACTGTTGCAATAACCAAAAATTTTTAATTATTAATAAATAAAAGTTTTATTCCTTATTTCCGAAAATTGATTAAAAGTGTGATTGGCCCTTATTGATCCAAGCCCCAGAATTAGTAGTAGTATTAATTTCTTTCGATTACAACAAACAAGTTTTGACTTGTATTTGTATTAATAATCTTTATTATCATTGAATAGTATATTAGTACATTATTATTTTAATTTGATGATAATTTTATCTTTTCGAAAAAATAAATATTTTCATTCCAAATAAAAAATATCGCAATCGTATTTTAATGTTATATTCAATTTATTTATTAGTTATTATTGTCGTCTCTCGTATGACCTTTAATGCAATATGAATTTTAAATATAAGAATAATAGATCACATGTAAATTAAAATCAATGACTAATTTATAAAGCAAATGTAGATTAATAATATCATGAATTAACAATTTAACTGGTTTTTCTAAATGATCATATTTCGATGAAGTATTGACATCAAAAAAAACCAATTAGCTATAACTGCTTTGCTTGTTGCTGCATGCTATCCTGTAAAAAATAAAAATAAACTGTTTAAATACTTTCATTTTACCGCTAAGTTCAACTTATAATGGGCCTGATATGAGTTTGGGAACTTCTCTGTAGGGCCAATATATATTATCAACATAATATCCATCAAATAAAAACTAAAAATACTAGAAAATGTAAAATACCGATAAAAACCTCAAAAGTCGCAAATCTCGAGTTACTAATAATAATATATTTACTAGTATAAAATTTCAAATGATATTTTTTCTTCCGTTCAAAAATAACCACCTCGAATTGAAGACCACCTACAATAGCATTGGCTACTTTTCTTCTTCAAAAAAAAAAAAAACTATTAAATATGAATCAAGTTCAATTTCTATTTGACTTCGATGATCATTAGTAAAATTACTTTTGATAAACTCGAGTTCGTCTACGAATGAACTTTAACCGAATTTTTTCATAAGAACAAATTTCAAAATTAGTTCGCGGTCTTTATACACGCTTTCGAATGAATATTATATCGTTCGTGAACAAATTCCTATACTTTTAAACAAACGTTCCGAGGTCGCTTAAAATATTGTCGTAATGATGTTTCGTCCACTGCCATCGCCGTGACGTTGATTCGAACGAGAGACAAAAAGACAAAACTCTCTCGCTCTTTCGTACCATATGGCCGGCAATCAATACAATATTTCAGTTTTCTGCAGTTATCGAGTTGCAAAAATGTCCCGGCCGTCTCGCGCGTATAAATCGGGAACTGCCCGCGCGCCAAACCGCATTTATTCCCCTCGTCTTTTTCACGCGCACGTAATAATATTATTATGTACTGTCACTCACTACTTGGACAGCGGCGTAGCCAGCGGGTATGCCTGGTAGGCCCGTGCCTACCTACCCACTTTTGTCCGAAAACCAACACAATTTCAAAATCAATAATTTGTATTAGTAGCCTTTCCTGTACCAAATATTTATATTATTTAAAATACCCAGACAAATATTTCCAACTGCGCCTTTGCGCTTGGATCGCGACACGAGGAATCGCGTCGCGTGATTATCGGTTTTAATTTTACGGCGATGTCTGCGCACGCGGCGCGGAACGGGGTGCCGGGACGGCGGTGGGAGCGGCGCGTTGCGGGGGGAGTTGAGGGACCGGGGGAAAACGTCATGAAAAACGTCGGCGCGGCCGGGAAATTATTTCGCGGGCGTTAAATCGCGCGCCGCTATAAAATGCATAGGCAGGTACACTCGTATAAACAGTATACAAATCGCCGCGTTGTTTTTTCCTTTTTTTTTTTTTCCTGGCGACGTCGATGTTTCGCCAATGGAAAATTCGGGAGCCGCACCTCGTCCGGAGGGCCGGGCGCCATTTTCCGCCGCGCACCAGCGGAGAAAACCGCGAGCCCGACAGGAGCTTTGCGGTTTCCATGGCGATTCGCGGGGATTTACAAGTCGGCCGATGCTATTCGTCGTCGTCGTCGCCGCCGCCGCCGTCTAGCATTACCCCGGTCCTGCGGTCCCCGTCGCGGCTCGCGCTCAAAGTGATTGCCGTGCGCGCGCCAGAGATATTTACACGCGCCGCTTACACCGACCCCGCGCTCACCACTCCACCGTCCCGCCGCCCGCCCGTGTGCATTATGCGTATATACAGGGTGTTTCGCGGTAAGCGTTAACAATACTTACGCGTTTTATTATATTTATATATACGATATGATAATTTGTATAGCATATTACAATACCCGTCTGCGTTCGACGCGCATAGCGGTCCGCGAAATTCGCGCGATCGGATTCGTCGGAGTCAAAGGAAACGTTTCTCTAACGTCGACGTTTCTCGCGCGAAACGAATCCATCGCACGGTTTTCGTTTTTTATTCGTGTGTAAAATTGTTACACAGTAAACGCCGTATTCTATAACCCATCGATAACGTTTTACTTAAAAAATTAAAATATCGAAAATCGTATTGGCGATGGATTTTGTTTTTTTTTTGATTAACGTTATTAATATCGTATAAACTATATATTATTCTCTATTGATATTTCGAATGTTTTCTGTAAGCACGAAACACCGAAATTCGATACTTATTTAGCCGTTTAATCATGTACATAGGTGATTCACTAAGCGTGATCCCGTCTTTTTAGTTGAATTTCGTATGTATTTAAATTCTTATTTTTAAGTGTGTTTACAGCCGATATTTTTAAATACTTAGATTATTCACAACATTTAAATAGTATCCCGTGGCTATACGAAGTTTGGTTTTCCAAATGAGAATTTATACTAAAAATCCCATAAATAGACGGAGTAAGGGTCCGTATTACAATTCTCGGTTTAACTCGAGTTTAGCTGAACCTTAGGGTAACTTACTGCCGGTATTACAATAACAGATGTAACTCGGTTTAAATAAACTGCGGTTTAACCGTTGTTTTCTGCTATATGTGTGGTACCACTGTGTAATTAATGAAAAAGTTAGGTGATAATGGTATTCTGCGGTGATAGTGGATCATTCGATCTGTTGTTGTTCGTTGTTTTTCTAATTCGCATACTTTGTTAATTATTTTAATTTATTGCAACGTTTGTCGAAAGCTATACGACTAGTGATGAAGGATGACAAAAAAGTAATTGAATCAACAAAAATAATTGTTTTTTTGTTTTTTAATTTTATTGATAACCAGAATACCATGTTCTTTATCAACATTAATGAACAAAAAATCAAACTGCAGTTCATCGCTGAACAAAGCTTAGCTCACCGAAATCGGTGGTTCAACTTCGGTTTGAACCACGGTTAGTCGTTTGTAACATGGTCTTTTTCATTCAACTTAAGTTTAAACTCCGAATCGAGTTTGCACCGAACCACCATTGTAATACGGGCCCTAATAGTTCAAATGAATATTGGTGTTCAAAATTTTTAATAACCGTCAACCCGTTATTCCACTTTTAAGTCTTGGTAGGGGAGAGTAGTGGAGTACCAATAAAACACCATGCTCCGTGCCGCCACACGAATGATACTCCACTACTCATCCCCTGCGTACAATTAAAAGTGAAATATCTCGTCAACGGGTCGACGGAAATGAAAACAATTAATACCATAATCAATTTAAACTAATACTCCATTTATTTGTGGAATTTTCAAGATGGGTTATCATTAGAAAACCAAAGTCGGTATCGCCACAGGATACTTCTTAAATGTTATGAAAAAATCGAATTACTCGGAAATAACGGCTTTAACTAACTACTTAAACTAACTAAAGTTTCTTAATTATTGCCAGTGGTGACGATGCAATCTTGAACCTAAATACAAATATTCACTTGTTTTTCCTGTGTCACGGAGGTATCTGTCTGTAGTATTCGTGATTCGTGTATATTTTATGCGTCTAGTAAAATGCGAGCAAACGTCGAACGCCTGCGAATAACTCAAAAATCGCGACGTATTTCGTGGATATTTCAGCGGCCCTTATGGTTATTTCCAACCGATAAACATACAACAAAAACGCATAACCGAACAAAACGAAACCGCTATTGCCGTAAATGTTTCCGGTCTCTCACGATTATCAGTGAAAAATACAAGGAAAATCGAAAAACGACTTACTTCGTCCGATGCGCCGTAACAAAGACGGCATTTGCTTTCGGGGAATAAAACGCTATCGGACTTCGGAGCGAGATCCCCAGTAGCGCGTGGTTCGCGGACAGAAGAGAACGAGAAGAAACGTCCGAAAACACGAACGAAACACCACCGATCGAAATCTAAATTGAAATTTGAAGCGCATTACCGCGAGAGTTTTTTTTTTTTTTTTTTTTTTTTTTTAATATTCTCTCTCGCCCAAAACGTTTTACTGGTGACTATGCACGCGCGCGCGCAAGAATCGCACGGTAAATTGACAGTAATCTACAGAAACGAGCTATTTAAACGGCGACCGTAAAACAAACCGGCCGTGATAAAACGTCGGCCGCGACAGCGGGACTTTTATATGCGCTTATTATTATATTTATCACACTGACGGCGCGGGGACGTTTTTTTTTTTTTTTTTTCGTGTTTTCGTTTCTTCCGCGGAATCCTTCGCTGCGATGTTCGCCGTACTCTGAGGGGAAATGTTAGAAAAAAAAAAAAAAAAAACCAGTTTCTATTTGTTCGGTAGACGATGTTCTAAAACACTTTATTGCACATCGAAGCCGCGAAAATCGTCTCATCTCGAAAACGGTGAAAAACCAAAAAACCGAATTTTTGAACTATTAAGTTAAAACATTAGCAAAGGTGGATAGATCAAAACTTAATCGATACCGATTTAAACGACATAAATCGATAAGCGTATTAATTAATAACGTGATTTATACTTCAACACTTTACTTGATAATGTCATAAAATGTGTTGTGATGAAAAACAAAAATGTCGAATATTCCTTTAAATCGTTTAAAACAACACATCATGATAGGTGTATCAATTTGTTTGTAAAATTGCACTTTTTTTTTTTTTATTCGCGCTCCAACAATATTTTAATTGAAAATTACTACATTTTATACATACATATATATATAACCTAGGCATTTATATTTAATTTTATAGCGACGGCAAATTAACACTTCTGTTCCAACAAACCCATCAACCGTTCGAAATAGACATTGCTGTGGGTTTTATTGTTATTTGCTGGGAAAATGTCGGAACAAACCAGAATTAGTATTGTGTAATATTATGCAAATTTTTTTTCAAAATAGAATTTGCCATTTTTTTTTTCCGCTGTAAATTCTTCGCGATATTCAATTTCGGCGATTTCACCGCGGACTATAAACCCCCGCCGCGTTCACTCGTTATTATATACACACACAAGAATTCGATAAATAAATAAAATCGATTAATAATAATCTACACCGGACTGCAATTGGCGGTGAGTATTACATTTTATATTGAC